CCCCCCCCCCTCAGGCTCTCACCCCCCTGGTGTCTGTGTCCATTGGTTAGGCCTATATGCATGCATACAAGTCCTTTGGTTGATCTTGGAATTATTTTTATACAAAGTTCATATGAAATTGCAATATTTGTTTTGATAATTTAAAAAATAATTTTCACTCTTTAAAAAATATATATTTTATTGATTTTTTTACAGAGAGGAAGGGAGAGGGAGAGTTAGAAACATCGATGAGAGAGAAATATCGATCAATTGCCTCCTGCACACCCCCTACTGGGGATGTGCCCACAACCAAGGTACATGCGCTTGACTTGAATCAAACCTGGGACCCTTCAGTTCGCAGGCCGATGCTCTATCCACTGAGCCAAACCAGTTAGGGCTGATTTTCACTTTTAATTTAAACCAAAGAATTACTGGAAACCAGAATACTATACATCTGGATCCCATATTCATTAAAGAATTTTAATGCCCAGCTTTTATTATTATAAAAATTGATATATGAAGATAAAAACCCTGGAGAGTTATAAGTTTTATAATAAGGTGGAATCTAAGAGATAGTCTTTGGTTAGATCACAGTGGCCAGGAGAAAATGGCAGTGAAGCCATCAGGAAAGTTGCAGGTCACCTGTAAGAACCCCACAAGGATATGTCCACTATGCATACAACTGCGGTCTGTTTCTAATAGTGTTAGAAAGTTTAGTATGTTATCTTCACACTGTCTTTTCCTTTTAATCCAGGGCAGTAAATCTCGTGAAAAAGTGGTGAAGCTTTTGGCCTCCACAACTCCAGAGGAGGTCTTGGAGAAATTGGAAAAGCAAGTTGAAAAAAAATAAAAGTAAGAAAGAAAATATTACATCCTTGAGAAACTTTTTTTATTGCTAATGATGAAGAGGCTGCTAAATAGGAAAATGCAGTTAAATGCACAGAAGAACATGTAAAATAAATGTATTTAAATAAGAACAGGTCTCCAAAAAGAAGTAGAAATTTTAAAGGTACTGCACATTGAATATAGGTCCTAAGATCCCTGACCCCAGATGGCTTGGAACATGTTGCTCTGATTTCATGGCATTGCAGAATAACAGAGCTGTGTAGGCTATTCAAGATGGCCTGATTCAGCCCCTTTCATTTTGTGATGGTGCTTCTGATATCCCGGAGTTGAGAGATAGGATCACACTGTGCAGAATGATAACTAGAACCCACTTGAATACACTCTATCCTGATTGTAAATTAAAATGATAATATTTCCGCAACACTTCTGGAATTCTAGGGCTCGCCTTCTAACCCAGTTTACAAGTGACAGGAAAGCTTGCCAATATATTTTGTACTCTATATCATAAAACGCTTATCTTTTTTTAAAAAAATATATTTTATTGATTTTTTTTCAGAGAGGAAGGGAGAGGGATAGAGAGTTAGAAACATCGATGAGAGAGAAACATCGATCAGCTGCCTCCTGCACATTCCCCACTGGGGATATGACCACAACCAAGGTACATGCCCCTGACCGGAATCGAACCTGGGACCCCTGAGTCCGCACGCAGGCTGATGCTCTATCCACTGAGCCAAACCGGTTAGGGCATAAAACGCTTATCTTTATGCAAAAATGTTTTCTGCATCTTTTTGAAACCCTTGAGCATTTTATGAAAAAGTAAGAAAGAATAACCAAGACTTGTACAGGCGTACCTCATTGTATTGCACTTCACAGATACAGGGTTTTTTACAAATTGCAGGCTTATGGCCACTCTTGTGTTGAGCAAGTCTGTCCGTACCATTCTTCCAACAGCATTTGCTCACTTTGTGTCTTTGTGACACATTTTGGCGATTCTCTCAATATTTCAAACATTTTCATTATTATTATATTTGTTATGGTGATCTGTGAACAGTGATCTTTGATAATACTATTGTAATTGTTCTGTGGCACCACAAACCACACTCATATAAGATGGTGAACTTGATAAATGTATGTGTTCTGACTACCCACCAGCTGTTCCCCTATCTCTCTCCCTTTCCTCAGGCCTCCCTATTCCGAGATACAACAATAGTGAATTTAGGCCAATTTATAACCCTACAATGGCCTTTAGGTGTTCAAGTGAAAGGAAGAGTCGCACATCTCTCACTTTAAATCAAAAGCTAGAAATGATTAAACTTAGTGAGGAAGGCATGTCAAAAGCTGAGATAGGCCGGAAGCTAGGCCTCTTGCGACAAACAGTTAGCCAAGTTGTGAATGCAAAGGAAAAGTTCTTGAAGGAAATGAAAAGTGCTACTCCAATGAACACACGCGTGATAAGAAAGCAGAACAGCCTGATTGCTGATATGGAGAAAGTGTTAGTGGTCTGGATAAAAGATCAAACCAGCCACAACATTCCCTTAAGCCAGAGTCTAATCCAGGCCAAGGCCTTAATGCTTTTTAATTCTATAAAAGCTGAGAGAGGTGAGGAAGCTGCAGAAGAAAAGTTTGAGGCCAGTCGAGGTTGGTTCATGCGGTTTAAGGAAAGATGCCGACTCTGTGACATAGAAGTGCAAGGTGAAGCCGCAGGTGCCGACGTGGAAGCTGCAGCACATGACCCAGAAGATCTGGCTAAAATAATTAATGACGGTGGCTACACTACACAACAGATTTTCAATGTAGGTGAAACAGCCTTATATTGGAAGAAGATGCCATCTAGAACTTTCATAGCCAGAGAGGAGATGGCAATGCCTGGCTTCAAAGCTTCAAAGGACAGGCTGACTCTCTTGTTAGGGGCTAATGCAGCTGGGGATTTTAAGTTGAAGCCAATGCTCGTTTATTATTCTGAAAATCCTACCGCCCTTAAGAATTATGCTAAAGCTACTCTGCCTGTGCTCTATAAATGGAACAACAAAGCCTGGATGACAGCACATTTGTTTACATCATGGTTTACTGAATATTTTAAGCCCGCTGTCGAGACCTACTGCTCAGAAAAAAAGATTCCTTTCAAAATATTACTGCTTATTGACAATACACCTGTTCACCCAAGAGCTCTGAAGGAGTTGTACAATGAGATTAATGTTATTTTCATACCTGCTAACACAGCATCCACTCTGCAGCCCCTGGGTCAAGGAGTAATTTCAACTTTCAAGTCTTATTATTTAAGAAACATATTTTGTAAGGCTGTAGCTGCCACAGATAGTGACTCCTCTGATGGATCTGGGCAAAGTAAATTGAAAACCTTCTGGAAAGGATTCACCATTCTAGATGCCATTAAGAACATCCGTGATTCGTGGGATGAGGTCAAAACATCAACCATAACAGGAGTTTGGAAGAAGTTGATTCCAACCCTCACGGATGAGTTTGAGGAGTTCAAGGTTTCATTGGAGGAAGTGACTGCAGATATGGTGGAAATAGCAAGAGAACTGGAATTAGAAGTGGGGCCTGAAGATGTGACCGAATGGCTGCAATCTCATGATAGCTCTTTAACGGACGAGGAGCTGCTGCTTATGGATGAGCAGAGGAAGTGGTTTCTTGAGACGGAGTCTGCTCCTGGTGAAGATGATGTGCAGATTGTTGAAATGACCACGAGGGATTTAGAATATTACATAAACTTAGTTGATGAGGCAACAGCAGGGTTTGAGAGGATCGACTCCAATTTTGAAAGAAGTTATACTGTGGGTAGAATGCTATCAAACAGCATCGCGTGCTACCGAAAAATCATCCACGCAAGGAAGAGTCCGTCGATGAGGCAAAGTTCGGTGCCTTATTTTAAGAAATTCCCACAGCCACCCCAGCCTTCAGCCACCACCACCCGGGTCAGTCAGCAGCTATTAACATTGAAGCAAGACTCTCCACCAGCAAAAAGATTACGACTCCCTGAAGACTCAGGTGATGGTTAGCATTTTTTAGCAATAATGTACTTTTAAATTAAGGCATGTACATGGTTTTGCCTCCATTGACAGAGCCTGAGAAAGCAAAACCTGGACTCCTGATTCTATGGGCCTTTCCTCCTTTGCCAGCGAGGGGTTGGAGAGAGACCCAGAGTGTGTAAGTGACACTTTTGCATTCAAAATTCCAAACAGTTAAAAACTCACAACTTTGGAGGCAGTTCTTTTCTGGGCTGTGGGCTTCCTCTCTCCCCCCTGCCCCCTTACAAATTCAGGGATTGGGTTAAGTAGTTCCTTTAACTATATTGCAGAATATACATTTTGGAATCTACCATGGCTCCCGCTTCGGATTATTTTTTAAAACGTGCCTAGAGACTACAAAATGTAAAATCTAGATTTTCAATTTACATCCAAGAGGTGGCACCATAATGCAAAAGCAGCCACATAATTTGAAGGAACTGAACTGCACTATTAGGAAATCACTTCTGCAGTGCCTGATACCAGTAATCCTTTTTATCTCATCCTCTCAGAGGTACTCCTGAGGCTTGGTCCCCTCCTATCTTTGAGTTTAGCTCAGGCCAGAGTGTGGTGTTAACCCAGGTCAACTGTGTGTTCAGAAGTTCAGGGTCACTGCCATAGTGGAGTCAGCATGGTCCCGAATGCCTCCCTCAACTGTGCAGCTTTCAGAAATCCCTTTTAGTTGCCATTTTTGAAAATGGAATTGGGCTGGACAATTGACAGAAACTAATTTCTTAAACCAGATGCCAAATTTATTAACTTGATTCAAGAACACACCTGCCAATTAGACTGCATACTGGCATCCTTTAGTGGGTACATTCTGTTCCTTTGGGAAATTTCATAGGAAGCCAGTTACCTGGAGTCTACTTAGAGACCTTAGGATCAGAGCCAAGGAAATTACGGGCCTGGGTCAGGGAGCTATGACTATCCCCTTTCTGCCGCAGGAATAGGCCCATTATATCCCATCAACCCCTCTCCTGGGACAGTGCTGGGCCCTCATGATTTATGGCATAGGAACTCCCTTTTTCTAGGCTCAAGGAACCCACCTACTTCTGTCCACATAGGCTTTCTCTAGACTGTCCTTATAATTCAGTTGGTAAGATTTTTTTTCCAGCATTTTATAATCCCTACTAGAGGCCTGGTGCAAGGATTCATGCCCCGGTGGGGTCCCTCGGCCTGGCCTGTGGGGATTGGGCCAAAACCGGCTTGGTGCATGGATTCATGCACTGATGGGGTCCTTCGGCTTGGCCTGCAGGAATTGGGCTGAAATCGGTTCTCCAATAT